AGATGGATTTATATACGTTGGTATATTATTACTGTAGTTTCTAGTAATATTTATATCAAATATATGCCATTTTATTCATTCACTCCATGCCGAGAATAAAGTTGTTTCTTGAGTCAAGATGGATTTATATACGTTGGTATATTATTACTGTAGTTTGTAGTAATATTTGTATCAAATATACGCTCTTTTATTCATTCGCTCCATGCCGAGAATAAAGTTGTTTCTTGAGTCAAGATGGATTTATATACGTTGGTATATTATTACTGTAGTTTGTAGTAATATTTGTATCAAATATACGCTCTTTCATTCATTCGCTCCATGCCGAGAATAAAGTTGTTTCTTGAGTCAAGATGGATTATATACGTTGGTATATTATTACTGTCAAAGAAAGAAGGTGTTTTTGTTTTGTTTCTTATAGATATAGCTATGTATAAAAAGTATTCATATTTATCTAGTTGATCAGTTGAAGATAAAAGTGTAACCTTTGGGACAGGTAAAAGGTAAATTAACTTAGAGTTATATCTCCATTTTCCCATTGGAGAGAAAGATGCTATTTTAAATTAGACCTATACCGGTATTTAAATACAGATTTACCTACACCATCTGACGAATAAAGGTGTTATGTTAATGAAACAGCTTAGTACTTACAGTTACAATTAGCTTATCCACCTGAGGTGTAAAACTCTCCCCAGCCAGGCCGTACAGTGTTGGTTGTTTAATTATATCTATCTTGCCTAAATTACGAAAGAATATGCCCACTAAGCTAGTACTGTATAACTAAGTCACGCACGTACGCAGGGTGGGGGTTCGGCCGAACCCTCTATTATTATGTTGTAAAAAAAAGGTTATGCTTATCTAGTTATAGCGTAGTTACTTATTGTATTTAACGTTTTCTACATAGTCTACATTATTTTGATAAAGCATAACCCTTTTTTTGGCTTGAAATTATCGCATGCAGTGGCTTCTGTTGACACTTTGTACTTAGAATTTCGAAGCCGTATTGCTTCTGCCAGATTTTATAGGCCGGGTTCTTTACAGCAGGTGCTTGGGACTTGTTG